TGACTATGACAACAATGGGAACCCGATAGGTACTCACATTCGTGTTCGTAAAAATAGAAGAAAGTATACAAGAGAATATTATGAAGTTTTAGGCAAACATGGCAAAATGTACACACTGCAAGCAGAAGATAAAACTACTATTGCCAGACCTCGTTTCAAACTTGTCAAAGTTCAAGGTGGTATACTTTCAAAGACAGTTCCTAACAAATATAAGACAACTCCTGACGAATATGCTAAAGAAGTTGAAAATGACGACTAAGCATTTCTATACCATGCGTAAACTGTCATGTAAGGTGGCATGTATTCTTTACTTTGTCCCGTTGTTTGCGTATATCCTGTAACCGATGTGTATGGTTTCCTCCTCCCTCAGTGTTACTCCAGTAACAATTTATAGCAAACTTAACGTTGTCTTTAACATCATATCCTTTACCTTTTGTCATTGCTGACCAATCCCAATATCTATGCTTATGCCAACCTGCTTGAGATGTACTTAAATCTATGTAGTGACTGTGCGCAGGTAAATTTTCACCTGAAATCATTTTACTTCCACCTGTTTCCTTTGAAGAGTTTGCACAATACAAAAACCTGTCGACTATTTGAGTCCAAGTTCCAAAACCCAGAACTGTTTCTGGATTTGTTGAGTTCATTGACGTATAAATAGAGCCTATAGGATATAATGTTTGAAGTATTTCTGTCTTTAATGTTTGAAGCTCTGTTTTGTCTGCTTTCTTGTCTAACATTGCGGGTAGTTCATATGCTTCAAAGTTTCTGGCATGATCTTCGATATTCCTGCAACTGTTATCTAAATTGTTAAGAGTATCTTTTACGCTTGTACTCGGATTCTCTAAAGGTGCACTTGAACCAAGGTCAAAGTTCAATATTATGTCGTCTGCTGTAAAAGTTGTAAAACTTGTATGTGTATGAGTCTTATTTGCTTTCTTCTCTAACTCATCGTTAACATAAGTTTTATCTGCTTTAAGGTCTAAACATCCTGAAACCCATCCTGTATCAGCTTTAGTTTTTAAAATCTTCGATGTCCATTCATGATACCATTCAGCCCTTTCTTTAATTTCATTATCTTTTTCATCCACATATTCCTTATCCGCCTTCTTCACTAACACACTAGCCATAAGTCCCTTATCTACCTTATTTTCAAGGCTAACGTTTAAGTCTGTTATTTCAGATATAGAATGTATATGAGTCTTTTTAGAATATTCGTTTTCAGCTCTTGTCACTTCACTTGACATTTTATTGTCAACATATGTTTTGTCTGCTAGTTCAGGATGAGTATGTTCTTTTGTTGCATAAGCATTGTTAGCTCTTTCTTCTTCTTTTGCTATTGCATCGTCTACATATTCTTTGTCAGCTTTGTTGTCAACATCTGCTTTCAAAAGAAGTTCATTTATAGGTTTCTCGTTTAAAGTTCCTTTTGTTGGATTTATACAGACAGTATGGTTCTTATTGTCTTGAAACAGAAACTCATCTGTCATTGGGTTTATTGTCAGTTTTAAGTCACCCCCTTTCAATGACTCAGATATCTTAGAATAGTTTGAAAAGTTTGTTGTGTTCTTATTTAGAGCTTGCATAATGAGTTGTCGGTTGTGTTGTATTTCTCTCATAGACGCTGTTTCATTTGACATTTTTATTATAGATAAAATATGCTTCCAATAGAAAAAGAAAATTCTAGAGTTGCTACAACTAAACCATTAGATGAACTTTTTACTAATGTCGGTCAAAAGTTTGAGACAGATACCGTAAAGCATGAAGGCTATCGTTTTGACTACCCATTAAGATGGTTAAGAGACCCATCTGTCACAAAAGCTATTGGCTTTCGTAGAATGAAGTTCATTTCAGAAGCCATACATGGTTTCCCATTTACGGTCGGTTTTGAAGTTCGATACTATAACAAAGAAAAACGTATGTATGAGAAATTTGAACAAGGAAAACTTTTACAAGTTAATTTGCTTATAAACTTAGAAACAACTCTTCAAGCTTTTCAAGAAAAAATAAACGATATCTATATTGAATATGCAAACCAGTTTAACATTGACGAAGGAGAATACCATCTCGATATTATTTATGACAGGAAAAATGCAACTGTTAAAATCAATAAAATAGAAGACCTTGGAGAAAACGTTTATATTTCTACAAAATATAACAACTTGGCATGGTATAGATTTATGAGGATGTTAAATCAGCCTGCAGCATATCCAGTACACCCGGACTATTATGAAGTCGAAAACCCTAATGGAACATATGAAAATATTTTCGACCAAGATGCTATTATTGTTCATGCTTCATTTTCTGGCGCCCAAAACTCTTTCTTATGCTTGGCAAATGACTTTTACGAAAAACCTACAAAGTTATACGAACCACCAAGTGGAAGTATTTCAGACTTTCAAGTATGGTTTACTACAGATGGAAGAAAAAGAATAATTCCATTATACCATGCGTTTTACTTAGAACTTAGTTTCATATACAACTACTATCGAACGATAAAAATATAATTTTTTAATATGGTTGAGGTGTTGGATTTGGTTGCCAACTTGACTGTGGTGCAGGTTCAGGCTGTTGTATAACAGGAGCTTGCTCTTCTGGTTCAGGGTCTTTAGGTATAATACCAACAAACTGACCTACTCTTTTACCAATATTTTTGACACCGTTCCATACTCCTCTTCCGACAGATTTTATTCCATTCCATATACCTCTTCCAACATTTCGAAAGAAGTTTCCTATCTTACTGAAGAAACCCATTTTACTATATGTAAAAATCTAATGTCCGCCTAGTCTCTTACGTTTCCTGTTGAGTTCCATAGCATTCTTTAACTGGAGCTCATACATTCTGTTTCTCCTCTGGTAGAAAACATATTCTGGGTCAACTCCTGTGTTCGCGTCATCTGCATAAAGTTGTTTATATCCCACTTCAGGGTTTGTATAAAACTCTTTCCATCTCATATTTGCATACCATGGTGGCAAACCTAACGCAGCGTCATTTGACATGGCAGTTTGCATTTGTACATCTGTTGGCACTTGACCATAGTTTGCCATTGCAGTTTGTATTCTAACTTCATTTGGAATATTCTCTGGGTTTGGTTGTCCAGGTTGCTGTGCATTCGCTAAGTTCTGTGCGTCCATTTAATATTAGATAAAAATATCTCTTACGAGTACATATGCTGAACATTTGCAGGCATTGGTTCATCTTCATATTCTCTGTACTTTTCTGCCACGTCAAATAAATAAATGACACAATGGAAAAAACCTAAAACAAGTAGTCCTATTTCAAACCACATTTACTTACTAATAAAATTTCTTTATTGTGACACTTTCTCCAGTTTATAGGACCTCTCTCATATTCTATCTTGTCATATCTAAACTCATAGTCGTTTATATCTTCTAGCCATTTCATGACACTTTCCAAACCACTTTTATCGGATGTAAAGTAAAAGCATGGATGGTTATGTATAACGTCTAAAGTTTCTAAAGAGTCTCTCAAAGTCCAGTCTACTTGGTATTGAAAATCCCATGTGTTATAGAACGGCGGGTCCACTATAAAGAAAACATTTTCCTTGTCTTTATATTTTTCATACAACTCTGTCCAATGACATCTCACAAACTCTATACCCTCAATATATTTTTCTATGTCCTCTTTGAAAACATTTGTATAGTTAAGATATAAAACTTTTGACATAAGTGTTTCAATGTCATGAACTCTTATAGCACCACTATATAATAGTCTAGCAGATATACTATTCCAGTCTATATATTCTGCTTTTTTCAAAACCTCTCTCACAATATTTTTCTTATCTAATGGTATACGTTCCATCTTACCTATAGGTATCTTTTCTTTTAACTCTTTCAATATATTGTTTGTGTCTGGAATATGTTTGAGACGGTCCATATAGTTGTCGAAGTCATTGCATATAATCTTTGAGTCAGGAAATACGGTATGACATAAATGGGATATATAGAAACTTCCACCGAACAAATCTACAAATGTTAGACCATTCGGTAGTTTCTTAAGTTCTCTCAATATAATATCTTTACATCTACTCTTATTTCCAAAGAACAGTAACGGTGGTTTTGTAAAATTCATTTATATATAATAATAAAAATGTTTTTACCCGAAAAGTGACAGAAAAGTGACAAAGCATGAAAACATATATAATTTGTGAAAAGCGACACAAAAGTGACATTTTTAAAAGTGACATCATTAATATGATGTAAATAACAACGGTTTTGGTTTTGTCACCGGCTGGTCGGCTGGGGTTCGGTCCTCCTCTTGGGTCTTGGGCAAAATTCTTAGGGCTAGAAGGGGCGCAGCCCCTGGAAGCCCCTCATACCTGACCTATTCATATGTTTATTTTATACTCATATTTTTGATCACAAATATCTTACCAAATAATATGAAATTTTATAACAAATGTATTACAGTGTTCACAAATATGAGCTAGATCAGTAAAAATGTCAATGAAAAGAGTATAAAAAATATTTTTAGTCTATTTATTTTCATATTACAAGTTTCAACATGCAATGTTAAAATTGTAGTAGACATATGAGATCCTTGAACTTGTTAATACTAATTGCATGTTAAAGTAAGCTTTAATTTTATACCAATATTGTAAATTGAATCAAATATACGGCATTATATTGATATATAATTCGTTTTATGATATAGCATGATATTCTACTTGTGCTATATTGTACTATCGTGATATTTAAGAGATTTTTCTCGATAATTCTGGATTATTATATAACTCTAGATTGTATTTGCCGATTTTCTCCAAACTACGTATTCTACATATGCATAATATGAATAGCCTGCAGCTGGAGTTTAAGGCCAAAATTTTGGTTAGAAGGGAGTGTCCGTATCTTTTTTTTAATTCTTTCAAATAATAATATCGATTCTCAATGCCTGTAGTAGTATTCCTTTAAGAAAGGTGTCTATAGTATTAATATCCTATTCTTCTTATGATTTTTGTCACTTTTCTAAAAAAAATATTATGTGTGTTTCTAGTGAGGAAATTAACTTACTAGTTCAGCATTATCTTCAAGAACTTGGATATGATCATGCTGCTTTTGCTTTCGGCTGTGAGTCGAAGATTCCAACAAAAGAAATAGCTTCACAAGAAATACCTCCAGGAGCCTTAGTTTATCTTGTTCAGAAAGGAATTATGTATGCACAAATGGAAGCTGCAGCAGATGAAGCAAGTTCTAATCCAGATACTTTATTTGGACATCAATTAAATTTATTACGATCAAATATTCGACAAAGTTCTGAAATAGCAGAAGAATTAAGCTCCGCAACGCGTAGACTTAGGATTTTACCATCATCTGATCAAACAGAACCTCTAGAGTTTTATTTATCTCAACAATCATCTTTAGTTCTCGAAGGCCACGCAGGCCCAGTGATTTTATCGGCCTGGAACAAGTCAAGCGAATTACTTGCAACAGGATCTACCGATGGAACAGTTGTAGTTTGGCAGTTTAAGCGCTCAGATGTTCCAGAATCATTAGATTGCAGCGTTCTTGACGATCCGATAGTTATCAAACCTACAGTGGGTCCGCAAGATAAGGCAGATATTACGGCATTACAATGGTCGCCAATTGATGATATTCTCGTTATTGGAACTTATTGCGGTAAGTTTTTCGTTTACAAAGCTGGAAATGAAATATTCCAGTCAGAGCAATATAAATCTCCTATTGTAAGTATCTCTTTCTCGCCAAATGGTGAACAATTCGCTGTTGGAGCAGCAGGAGGCGAAGTATCGATTGTTAAAGGAACTACAGTTAGTACTTCCCTTAAATTAGAGCCTGGCATTATGGATGTCCAATGGATGGATGATAATTCTGTATTAATTGCGGCAGGAATGAAAATTACCAAAATTGGAAGCGATGGAAAGCCATCAACCTTCTTAGAAAACTCCGATCAGATTATACAACTCATTACATCTCCAAAACAAGAGATTGCTGTTGCAGGAGACAAATCCGGAAATATTATTCTTATTAAACCCGATGGAAAGGTTGTTAGAACAGATAAAGCTCATGCTTGCAGTGTATCATCACTTACATTCAACGCCGCTGATGGTAAATTCACTTCAGGAGCGTTAGATGGAAGTATCGAAATTTCAAGTGTCGATGATGAGACAAAGATATCATTTAAAGATGCGCACGCACCAATTATCTCTATTGTATACGAGAAAGAGAACAAATACTTCGCTACGGCCGCTTCAAATGATATTATCGGATTATACTCCATCGAAGAGAACAAATTATTACTGACATTCGAATCAATCGACTCAATAAATGGAATGTCGTGGTCTCCTGATGGTAGATTCTTAACTATTTGCGTTTCCAATGGTCAAGTCAATGTTATAGATTTTGCTCAGATTTGTTAAATGTCATACATTCTTTATTAATAAATGTAGATTGTTTTACTTTTAATCAAACACAAATTTTTAAAAAATATCACAATGAAAATAATAAAATATTTTATTGACTCTAAATTAGTAATATATGGCATATACCATTTACTGTTTTCTTGATATAAGACCCTCTAATTAAAAAGTATTGGAGTTAGACGATACTTCTTCTATATTTCATTTCATCAAGGATATTTGTCTTTTTTGACCCAGAGTGAACATAGAAATTATATATTCCAACACACGTAGGTATATATTTCTATGGGAACCTTTCTCAAAAGCTTTTGTCTTATTGATGCATCAAACAGAGTTGAGAAAATGCATGTGGAGCCTTGGCACTGGTAATTTAAATGAAAAACATCATAGTTATGATGGAATGTGATGATTTTTCTTTAAATAGATGAGCTTTAAACTGCATGTAATACAAAATTTTCCATTTGAATACCAAAACTGTCCAATCTTTCTCATATCTGACAACCTCCATCAGAAAATAATAATTTTTGTAGAAAGTATTGAATAAATGTTATAGTTTTAGTAATTTCAAATATCTTTTGAGATTTTTATTAGGAATTTTGGAAGCCATGGTTAAAAAGTAATGATTAATAATTTGTCCAGTAAAAAATTAATACTTTTTGTTTAATAATATTAAAAATAAAATTCAATAATGGAACATTATGGTCAATAGATATGTAGATTTTGGTATTCAATTACGTGTAAATTTGCGAGGGGATCTTCTGGTCTCTTCCTTTTGTTCGTTTCTTTGGTTTTGTAGCTTTTCTTGATAATCTGAGAAAACGGTAACATCAAGAAGGCCACCAGCATACTCGATCTTGCTTAATGCAGCAATTTTAGCTTCACCTTCCGATCCGAGCTCAACAATTGTAGTTCCTGAGTAAACAACTTCATCGCCATCAATTGTGTAGCAAGGATACATTGCACGAACATCCAAATTGTTTGATTTGAAGAATTGGTACTGTAAATGCGTTGGAGCTTCTCTATCTATTCCAGAAACACGAATTGTACGATATTTTCTTCTAGGATCTGGTGTAATTGGTTTCTTCAATTTAATAGTGTGTGCTGTAGTATCTACTTCGAAAAAATCGATTGCTTGCATTGCATCTAATTTATCTTCTGGTTCAAGGGCTCCAGAGAGTTTTTTGATAATTGGAATATTATCAAACACGCCGATGTCAATAAAATTATGCTGAGATTCTTCAATCTTCTTCTGGATCTCTGGATTTTTTTCATTATTAAAATCAGAGTATAAATATTCGATTATATATTTGTAAGGCCGGAGTTTAGCTTCTCTAGAGACATCATGTGAAAAGCCGAGGAGTGATGCAAAGGCCTTCATTTTGCGATAATTAGAAGTCATTTGATAAAAAAAAATAACCGTTAACTTTTTTATTTCTAATTTCTGAGAAAAAAAATCTATACCTTCAAACTTGGAAGAGCAAATATGAAAGGAGTGTTCATAATACATGGTTATTCGACTTAAGATTAGTCTGTAAAACCATATAACGGTTTTGAATATACCTGGAAAGTACCAAAATTCTGATATTTCGCCCTTTTTTCATCATTAATGCTTTGATAGACAAATTCGAATTATATAAATATAGCAAGCTTTCCACTATTCAAAGTAGTCATAAATAATATATTAATATCAGAAAGACTCCAAAATAATTAGATAATAAGACTAAGATTAAAATAAGATGTTTAGTGATGAAAGAAAAACACAAAGAAATGAAATATATTCACTATGTTGAATGTTTTCTTTGATTTCATAAATAATAGGAATATCTGCATAACAAAGAGCAGTTGAAAAATGAGAAAGATTATGAGTAAATTCATTTGTGATATTATTTATAATGGTAACTGCTGCTCTTGTTGATGTAGATTCGATATCAATATAACATCCTTCTAATGTAATTTTACCAATAAAATAAATATAAGAAATTATAACATTATTTATAAAACTACTATTTTTGATATTAACTGGAGCAGAATATGCCCAAAGAAGAGCTCCAATGTTATTTAAAATGTTACAATTTCGAATTTCAAAAGTTTCTTGAGAATTATAATAAAGGAATTTATAATTATAACTAGTTCCACTTGAATTAGAAAAAGTGGAAAATGAACAATTTGATCCTTTTGAAAATGAATCAACTTCATAAAAATCTCTCAAAAATATTTTCGAAAATGAAATGTTGATTGATTTAATTTCGATTTGGCCGTTTATTAAATAAAGATTACACACTCCAAGATCACTTTCATCTCCACTTTTACTAATAGAGGATTCAAAAATATAATTTTTGTAGGTGTTACTATCACTAACATCAATTTTACAGTAAACACCGTATGTATCTTGTGAGTTTACTTTAGAAGCGAAACTGCAGACACGATCTTGAACAAATTCGCCTTCTTGTTGATAGAAAATACAACCACCTGTTTGATTGTTACTACAGTTATTAAATGTTGTAGTATCAATGAGGAATTTGATTGTATTTTTTTTGTGTTTAAGTAAACTGAACCTTGTGTGTTTACTTGAGTGAAAAAGCATGATGAGATATAGTAACTGTTTTCTTTTGCTGTAAGTTTACTATGATTGTTTGCATATTCTTTGTATGTTTGTGTGTTTGGATAAAATTCTGCCCAATCTTCGTGAATTTCAATTCGTGTTGCATTGGTAAGTTGATATTTAGTGAATATTGAATCATATTCATTTCATACAAATAGTTCTATGAAATAGTTTTTATCCCCTAGAAAAGGGAGTTTTGCTATTCCATAGATTTTGGATAAAAAAAATGCTACTCAAAAATAGTCAAAATCAATTCGTCAAACTTACAACATCACCTCAAACTTTACACTCCAACTATAGCACAAATTTTACTGGCTCAAAATTTCCTTTATCCATGAGTACATATTGCTATAGGAAATTTCCTGAAAATATTTTTAAATGTAAAGAAAGAGATACTTAAACCATCCCAAAAATGAGAAGGTATATATATTAAGCCTTTTTAAAAAATACACAAATTTTCATATATAATCATACATTTATTAATTATATTTTGTTATGCATGCAAACTGCGTGTATATTCTTTTCTAAGTTCCGCAACTTCCTGAGCAATATCTGGATCTCTGAAGTTCTCTGCGACGTAGAATGTTGGTGCAGCAATGCAGAGCCAGTTTGGATTGATAACAGAAACAGTCCTCAAGTAATCATGATCAGTCTGTACAAATTCATCAAAAATAACCCACTTTTTATCTTCAAAAAGTGATGTTTCCAATGCAGAAAACTTAATTTCTGCCTTTTGTTGTCCTCTTCCTGTTACAACTTGGTATTTCTCGTGTTCTCCAAGTTTTGCAACATTCATGAATGAACCTTTCAACAGAGCCAAGAAGAACTTTTCTTCATTAACAGGAGCATTGAAATCTTCATCTTCATTTCTATATCTATTGAAATTTTTCAATAATCTCTCTAATTGTTTGGCCGCTTTACGTGCATTTTCAAGGGATCTGTGGTTGAAGAAGTTACTGATGGCCCAGCTTGTTCCTTTATTGCCCTGTCTAATGTATTCTTTGTAGACTTGGAGCAATGTCAAATGATCACCTTTTTCATTGATAAAAGGCTTGTGCGCTATGTCAGCTTCCTTCTTCTTGTTCCTTGGATGCAAGAAAATCTGTCCTTGTTCGGATAAAATCGCGACAATTGCGATGATATCTCGGGAGTTGCCGTATTCGTACGAGGAAAGAAGCGCTTTGGCGTACTTTGGCTCTATTGGTAGTCCGGCCATTAGTTTTCCTTCTGTACTGAGAACTTCTGGTAATGAATTTTGTGGCAAAGGGCTGTGAGGCAGAAAAGTATCGAGATGGTAGAGTTCTTCCAATGCCCCAACAAGAAGTTTGTAGTGGGGATGGTCAAGGAACGGAAAGTGTACGATATCAGATATATGAGCGGCCAACATCAACAAAATGACCGAACAAAGGTCTGATCGTTGTATTTCCGGTACGGACTGCTCTTCCATCATCTCGTATTGCTCTTGCGTGTACATTCTGTAGCAAAAACCGTCGCATGTTCTTCCTGCACGTCCTTTTCTTTGGTTTGCAGCAGCTTTGGAGATGTAGACTCTATTGAGAGACCTTTTGCGACTGCTTGGACTGTATCCTGACTGTTTAACATAGCCACAATCGATGACATAAACAACTCCATCAATTGTAACAGATGTTTCAGCGATATTTGTAGAAACAACGACTTTACGGGTTCCAGCACTAAGTTTATTGAATACTTTGGCCTGTTCTCCTGGAGGAAGTGCTGCGTAAAGTGGAAAAACTAATGCATCTACAACGGAACCTGTAACACGAGTTCTTGATATGCGATCTCTAAGGATTGAACATGCACGTTCGATTTCATCTTCACCGGTCATGAAAATAAGAATGTCTCCTGAAGATTCTTTTTCTAAAATTTCCATGCATTTATTAACAGCGGCTGTAATTTCGTTTTGTACCATCTGCGGCTGATGGAAAACTTCGACATTGAATTGTCTGCCTGGAATTTTGAGGTGTGGTGGTGTAATATCGCCATGTGTGTAAAATTGAACGAATTTACCGGCATCAAGTGTAGCAGACATGATAATAATCTTGAGGTCTGGACGTACATTTCCGATAAGTTTAAGAATACCTATGATAATATCTGTATTTACTGTTCTTTCGTGGGCTTCATCGATAATAACAACACCGTACTTAGAAATTTTCGGATCTGAAATAAATTCTCTCATTAACAAACCATCGGTCATATAAACTAATTTTGTATTTTCACTGACATAATCATCGTATCTAACTGAATAACCAACAACATCACCTAATTTGACATCCATTTCTTGTGCTACACGTGTTGCAATACTGATAGCAGCAACTCTTCTTGGTTGTGTACAAACAATTTTTTTTCCGTATGGTGATAATGCTTCTTCGAGAACAAATTGAGGAATTTGAGTGGTTTTACCTGAACCTGTTTGACCTTCTATGATCACAATTGGATTGTCTCTAATTGCTGCGATAATTTCCATTCGATGTTCATAAACGGGAAGTTTTTTTCGAGTTTCGAGTATTTCTTTGTATGTTTCCGAATATGGATTACCTGTATATGGGTTAATCTCTGAAGAACTTCGAGAAGAAGTTGTACCTTCAGAATGCATTTTGAACGAACAGACTTGTTCAATTTCAATAATTTTTTTCTATGGCAGATATTAATTCTCAAGAATCTCCGTGTTTAAATGTTTTATTAGCAATTGTAACATCCCTAGTGCTATTATTAACATCATGCGAGTTCCTAATGCCATTAATAACGTTTATTATGGGTATTTATGATATAATTTGGTATAAATCTCTTGCAATTATAGAAAATAATACATTATTTGTTTTAATTTCAGCTGCAGTTACTACTGCTATTAGTATTGCTTTATTTATGGTTTACTTTTTACAATTAAATTTCACGTTTAAAAAGAATGTTATGATACTTCGTCACATTGCCAATATAATATATACAGCTGCTGTAATATGCTTACTAGTTTCAACGAAAAAACACAACGAAACAAAATTACTTCAAAATCTCTCCCAAAAATGGGGAAATTCAGATCCATCACTTATATATCAGTCAAAACACAATTGTGTAGGTTATATATTTAATAGTACAGACTCTAAAAATTGTTATCCATCAGTTCAAAATGATGTTCACAAATTTTATAGCTTTTCACGTAAATTTGTAATACCTTGCTCATTGTGGTGGGCTCCTGTTATTCTTTATTCTATTTTATCGATTATTATTCTTATTATTGATAAGAAAGTCCGTTGGGAATAAACTATATTTGTTTTTATTGTATTTTAATAACTACTACATGCTCAAATATTTAAATTTTTAATTTAAATTTATATAATATTTAGTCGCTCTAATATAGAAAGAAAGGATTTTATTTTAATGATTCGTAATCTTCAGGTTCCTTCTTATAACGCATGAACTGCATTAAAACAATGAAATCTAAAATCATTGGGCCCATACTGCCAACTAGCCACGGGAACTGCATCCAAATGTAACCCCAATGTGAATCTTTGAGGAAAATAGATACAGCGTAAGTTCCGTTTCCAAGCCAAGCTGAAATGAAAAATTGTATTGACAATCCTTCGGTTTCTTTACGTTGGTAGTTCTTAAATATCTGGCAGATACGTGAAGAAGAGTAAACGATGCCGGAAATCCAGCCGATTAATATTCCTTTGATGTAATCTTTTGAATAAGGATCTGGATATGACGAAGCAAGGGCAACAACGGCTCCAGAAGCAGCAATAATTGGAGCATAGCTATCATCAATTGTTGTTTCGGAATTTAATATAGATTCGTTGTCTCTTCCGCAGAGTTTTGGATGTATCCATTCGAAATAGATATATTGGAGCATGCAGAACCCATCAACGCAGCAAAAGAATGTTGAAGTAATAACTTGTGTTACTAAACCGTTTGTTAAAAGGCATCCTGTCAGATTTGAAACGTCTCCTAAGATTAAAAACAGTAAGAAGTATGGAGAAAGTCCATCAGCACGACGGTTTTTGAAGTTAATATAAATTTGTGGTAACTGAGCCCACATCCAAATTAATGTGGAAGTAATTCCGAAAAAGAAGGATAATTTATCACGTGTTGTTACAACACACTCGCCAAACACTTTAGCTATCCAATGAACATAATCTCCGCTACAAGTGACCATTAATCGGATATGATTACTTTGAAATTTTATGATGTGCGGTTAAAAGTGACTTGATTTGTGAGATGATAGAAATCATTTTTCCATATTGCTTTTATTTTATTTGATAAACAAAAAAAGTTTTGATTTGACATTCAATTTTGTTTTTCAGATGTCAGATCATTTGAATTGAAAGAAAAACGAACGAACTTTCAATCTCTGGGCCTGCTGACTGTCAAAAAATATCTTAAAAATTATTCGATGATTTTGATTCAACTTTTTTGAAAATACAATAAAAACAAATATAGTTTATTCCCAACGGACTTTCTTATCAATAATAAGAATAATAATCGATAAAATAGAATAAAGAATAACAGGAGCCCACCACAATGAGCAAGGTATTACAAATTTACGTGAAAAGCTATAAAATTTGTGAACATCATTTTGAACTGATGGATAACAATTTTTAGAGTCTGTACTATTAAATATATAACCTACACAATTGTGTTTTGACTGATATATAAGTGATGGATCTGAATTTCCCCATTTTTGGGAGAGATTTTGAAGTAATTTTGTTTCAGCACTAGGGATGTTACAATTGCTAATAAAACATTTAAACACGGAGATTCTTGAGAATTAATATCTGCCATAGAAAAAAATTATTGAAATTGAACAAGTCTGTTCGTTCAAAATGCATTCTGAAGGTACAACTTCTTCTCGAAGTTCTTCAGAGATTAACCCATATACAGGTAATCCATATTCGGAAACATACAAAGAAATACTCGAAACTCGAAAAAAACTTCCCGTTTATGAACATCGAATGGAAATTATCGCAGCAATTAGAGACAATCCAATTGTGATCATAGAAGGTCAAACAGGTTCAGGTAAAACCACTCAAATTCCTCAATTTGTTCTCGAAGAAGCATTATCACCATACGGAAAAAAAATTGTTTGTACACAACCAAGAAGAGTTGCTGCTATCAGTATTGCAACACGTGTAGCACAAGAAATGGATGTCAAATTAGGTTTATATGGAATTTCAGCCGGTAGAATGAGCACATCTCTTCCATTGAGAAACAGGAATTACACATGCATTTAGCAATGTTTTTACTGAACTTGTGAAAACAATCCAGGAAAAAAGAAAATGACTGTTTGACAGTTTTCTCCTAATAAATCTTTAGCATCTGTCAATTTTCACTTATATTTTTAACTTTCCAGTAAATAGAGGTTAGATAGGGGTTAAATGCCGCTATATAAAAACATGATATAGCAATTATGCAAGAGTAATGATTTGTTGGATGCATATTGTATGTTTTGACTATTGAGAGTTGTAATTTACTTAATCTTGTCTTATTTCATTTGGATACGTATTAAAAATGTCATTTATTAACGAATCGGTTAGATAAATATCTTATTTGATCTGTACCTAAACTATAGGATAGCTCTCACCTGTTAAAATCTGAATTCTTAAATTTAATATTCAATTTCATTTAGACTGACAATCTTATAGATTCAAGGATACATCGAGTATACAAGTTTGGGCGTAAAGTGTAGGGCTTCGGAAATTGGATAATGATATCTTTTTCTGCAAAAACTCAAATTCAAAGCTCAATGTTGAAAAATCATTATATTCATATAAATGTCATTGCATTTTCATCAAAGAATTAGTGATTTATTAGAAAAAAAATTTCAAAATCAATTTTGAGAGGTATTGTAAATAATGTTTTCAATCAATAAAAAAACGAATCAATGGCTGATCTTCCAAGTACTATCAAAGATGAGACAATGATATCAGTTAGCGTTGATTCGACTTTCTTTGTTGACATCATAAAGCGTCTAAATCAAAAGATAAAAGAGCACGAACAAAGATTTATAAATCTTGATAATATTATTAAAACATTTGTCACGAAAGAACAATTTGATCTTGTTCTAAGTCCTCTTACAAAGAAAGTTGATGACTTTGCCCAAAGAAGTAACGAAGCGTTAGAAAAATCCGAATTATTAACTAAAGTTGCAAACGAAACTCGCGATAAACTCACCCAGATGATCGATGGAAAATTCGATGAAATGTTGTTTTCTACTAAACTCAATCAAAAGAACGCATCAGAAAGCTTAGAACAAAAAATTGAAACTTGTTTTCTTAAGACAAAAGAAGCTCTTGATCGCTCACGTGAAGCCCAAGAGGAAGTTCGAGCTCAAAGTGAAGTTACAAAAGAAACAAAAGCAAACGTTCAAATTTTAGGAGATCGAATTCATCATGTAAACACAGAATTCATAAAATACGTCAACTCTCATAACAGAACAGTCAAGAGAAACAACTCAGATGAACAATTACCAATTACAGGCGATGCCGGAGATAATGACTTAATTGAGCAAATTCAAGCACGTACAACAGAGCAAATCAACCAAGTACACACAACAATGGCCGATTTACTTAACAACAGACTCGCTTCTCTACAAAAAGCTCTTGATATTGCACTTATGCACACAACATCAGATAATGCACCAAAACTCAACGAAGTTTGGGCAGTTACATCTCAAAACAGAGCTGCTCTCGTCAATGCAATGACAGAACAATCACTTTTATCAAGAAGAGTCGATGTTTTGCAGCAATTAATTGATAATTTGCAGCAAAATCCATCAAATCCTGAATCTCCGAACCGTCCAATGCTTTCAAGCATCATGGCACATCAAACAGCAGCAACACGTGCAGGAATGTTGATTCCGTTAGACAACGACATTCGTGCAAAAGAACATCAAAAACTAGAAAAAACAGTTGACCATCTTGGCGGCCAAATCGATGCTGCTCTTCAAGATATCCTTCGAATCAAGAACGCCGTCAACAGGAATGAGAAAGATGTTAGAGATGTCGTACTCGCAATCATCGATGAATTCAAATTGATCAGAACAAACGCGAGTGGTTTAGAACATCTTCCTCCACTTAATTTGGCAACATGTGTCCCCAGTTTCTTCAATAATCCAAGCTTCACATTTGCACGTGTTGGTGGTGACGATGAATCACCAGATGAATCTGATAGATCTAGCTCTCTTCCAACAGGATCAGGCACATCAACACTTGAAAGAATGAGACTTGGAAGAAGAGGAAGATACAGAGAAGACAGCGAAAACGAAGACATGATCAGTGGCGAAATTTCAGAAGATGACATTGGCATAAAGAAGAAACAGTCAACAACGTTCTTCAAGACTAAAAAGATCTCTGGATTGATGCATATAATTTCTCGACAGCCTAACTATAACTCTCCACCTCCAAAGCTTGATATTGATGACAAGAAATCAGTGAAAAACGATGACAAAAAATCAGTTAAAAGTGAAAGTGAAAATGATAACATTTCAACACAAGTTTCAGGTAATATTTTGTATGTTGGGAATACGTCTAAATCGCAGCCAGAGCAGACAGTTGTCCATGTAATTGAAAAGGAAACATCGGAACAGTTGAAAGGACAAATGGAACTTTTCATCAAAAACAAAAATGAACTTATGTCAGCTGTTGAAAGAAAAGTTGATCGCGATTTTGTTGAGAAAGTATTTAACAAGTTCAGAGTTATCATCAACGGATTGAATGAACGAGTGAAAGAGCTTGCATCGTCTATGGATAAATTCGCCACTCAAAAGGACGTTCAGACAGTTGCCGAAGTTTTGTCACAGACAGCAGCGATGGTCGAAAAATCATCTACAAAACAAGGCAAACTTCCTGTTTCTAACTTCGGCGGAAGTGGAGATTTCGTCTATGGTGATGATGGTTCTGCATTTGTTAAAGAAACTAAGAAAGAATCATCTGAATTACCTCTTCTTCAGAAATCAAATAACAACAGATAATTATTATTGTTTTTGTTTTTATTATTTATATTTCTATGTATTTTTATTGTAAAAAGTTTTTTTATATTTATCTGAAGAATACTATCTTGTAGTATTCTATTCTTATCTTCTATTGTTTTAATTGATTGAAACTATAAATTGAAATCATGTTTTCAACAAGAGAAATGTCAGTTTTTTGTTAAACACATTTGATTATTCAGATATAAGAGTTAAAGTGTCCAAATGAGAAATTTTCGAAAAAGTGACATCGCTGTAGGCGATGTCACTTTTTCTTATGCTTGAACCTCACCTTATATTTCAATATAATTAAATATTAGAAAACGAATTCTCATTTCAAATTCTAGACCTTTTTAAAAATAATGTAAACTAAACAAAAATTCTATGATAAAAAAATACCCATCAGATGTCCATTTTTTATTATTTTTTTTAATACCCAGAACAATTTGAAGTGATTAGTATTAAAATATATATATATCATTTAACTTAACGATAAAATAAATCATCTTAATGAGGAAGGTGTGGAAACACCGTCTTTCTCCTCATTGATGAAAGATTTTGGACAGTGCTTTTCCAAGGAGAAACGGCAATTTTGGAACATCTATAAAAGAAACACTTGAATCTCCTACTAAAGATTGCAAAATATGCGTTAGAAAATAGGATATACAACTGCAGAAAAGAAACAGAGTACATTTATTGTTTTAACAAACAAAAGAATAATTTCATCAATCAATGAATTAGATGATCAAAATTTCGATCAAAAACACGAATCATCACTTTAGTTCGGGAAATAAAGTTATCCAAATTTAATGAAGCATAGTATTCTGTGTCAACATTAACAGGAGGCTGAGGATAAGGAAATAATGAACTAACTTTAGTTTTGAGTTTTTGGATAGATATATGGCGCTGATTCGATATATCAATGTATGTTTTGTAATTTGGCTCACTAAGGAAATGATTTTGAAGAAATGCTTTTTTAAGTATTAATTCATTAATCATCAACCTAAAATCAGTGACATGATTAGGAAAAACTATTGAATTTGTAAAATTAACGAGGTCCTGATTTAATTGAGTGGCAAACATGAGCGATCCGATTTTTTCTGTAAGTTGATTTTCTAGCTCTTGAAGCTGCTTGATTTTCATTGTAAGCTCATAATCGATTAGTCGATAGTTTACGCCACAATCGAATACATTGCCTGTAAAAAGATAATTGGCTGGCGGAATAGAATTGATGAAAGATTCGGTATTATTGAAAGCAACTAAGATTTGTTTATTGATCCCTGTCGAATTTAATATGGAAAATATTTCCTGGAATTGTTTTTTGCATAGAATTAGTTGATTTTCAAAATTGGTTTGGAAATATTTGATTTGATTAAATAAACCAATATTTTCCTTGATTAATTCAGAAATTTCTGGGAATATCGCTTGCTGGCAATCATTCAAAATAGTTGTCATTCGTCTTATAGCAGCTTGGGTTTGATTATAACGAGGTGCCATTGGTATTACAGGCCTAGGCAAATCAAGTGGAGTGTAATCGGAAAAGATGGCGATTGCAGTAAACTGTGCAAATTCAATCATGAGATTTGAAAAAAAATGGACGATGTATTCTCCAAGAGGTATCAAATTAACCCTATTAAATTTCTCAAGTGAACTCAAATGATCCAATCTCTTCAAGTACATCTTGTTAAAATTAGTGAGTTCTCTTTCTAATATATTGAGGTCATTTCTTAATTTTTTCAGATCTTCAATTGTAAATCGTCTATTTCCATGAATAAAATCATTAAGCGCCTGCGAAAGCAATGTTATTTGCCAGCCTTTTATTGGAATAAATCCTATAATATCTACAGTAAGATCACCTTCATTCTTGTAAAAATAAATTTGTTGAGTATAATTCAAGTAATCATTATAATAAGATGTAACTATTTCTGTTAATGTTTGTAATTTCTGGATTAGAAAACAAATATATGGGAAATATTTTCTGACGGGTTGATTAAATCTTTGAAGGTATTGAAATTGGTCCTGCAAACGTAAGTTGTAGTCATAGATTGTTCTATGAACATTATACAAGTTAGTATTTGTAAACATTAAATTCGTAAAGTTTAACATTATTTGATTGAATACAGCGTTTTCATTAGCAATAGATTGAAGAATTCCTTGATATCGGCTCTGGTTTTTAAGAATAAGATTTGATATATCATTCAAAGAAGTTGATAAATGATTATTGATTTGAGTCAGTTGGCTCATTATTGTAGATGGTTTAATGCTAATATCTGACGAATTATTCCCAATTATCAGTTCTCCATTAGCGATTTGGCTATAGGAAAGTTGCTCCATTAGAATTTCATTGTGAACATTATGACCAATACAAATCGAATAAGTTAGTTTAATTCTTTCAAGATGTGGCCAAGGACAAATTCTATATGTTCTTGCCAAGTCTTCAATGAATTCATTTGAAATAGGATCTGAATCATTAAATTCCTCAACTAGCTTTGGAATCACGTAATAATAAATATATATTTGTACAAAATAAACAAGAAGTTCGATAAATAAAGTAACACCATCAATAACAATATAAATAACGCATTCTGATTTATCTGTTGTAACTTTTGCAACACTCAGAATTTTATCAGTAATGTTTTCATCGTAAGGAAGTGTTTCATTGTTATAGATTTTCTCAGCTGACTCAGGCAAAGCTACAAAACAAATAATAATTATGAGAAAGGTAAAAAAGTGAATTGGAACAAAATATATATCTTGGATATCATTGATTGATTTTGGGCGCAGCGTGAGACTATCTTTTGTGAGACTGTTATAGGAGGTGAACTTGTATTCTGCATTTGAATTTAAAGAAATTTTGGATTTAGAAGTTACACCTGAAAGTGGAATGCATGCAAAATATTGATTGATTTGCGCTGATATTTTCGTCAATTCGCTTTTGTCGGGGAACCTTTCTTCATTGATATGCCAAAAAATATCAGCAATTTTTTCATGATCAAGTTGATTAGTTATATGACGTGGCATGCCGTTTTGATATTCTTGTAATGTATCAATAATCTTTTGTAAATACTCTAAAAGTGTTTTTTTCGTTCTTGATTTCTTGATTAAAATTATAACTATGATAACAAACATTGTAATGAAATATAAAAATTGTAAAATCGTAATAGATAATTTAACTCTAAAATATGAATCAAAATCAGAAGGTTTTTTAATACCATTTGGAAGAGTTAGATTTGTGACGTTAAGTTGGTCCGACATTGGGTTCTTCGGATTTTCTTGCCATTTAAAGTCTCCATATAAAAGGACAACTTGGATAGCAAGTAGAATGATGGAAAAAATTTTTACAAAGTAATTATAGCGGTATATGTTTTCAAGAAAGTCTAATAAACGCCCAGCAACATATCGGCCCATTTATTGTTTCTTTATTTTTTGTAAAGATTGATAGCTTTACAATGAATACTGGAAATATTTTATAAAACTATCAATCTTTATCAAGAATTCCAAAATAGAGGAATTATTGAAAATCGTCCCACCTTTTCAATTTTTACACTATTATTAAAATATGTTATATATGAATTGACAAGCCAACAATCCAAAAATTGTCGAATGACAATATATTTGATTTGAGATATTTACAAAATTTAGCGGTGCTTTATTCAATATGATTTTATGATTGTGATTGAGAAAAATTTTGTTACAAATTTGAATAAATATAAATATACAGTTGTTTGGTAAAATCGATATTTGGAAAAACGACATAAAAATTTTTATTGAATTATATCACTTTACAAAACGATAAGAAAATTTTTATATCAATGTTTGATAGAGAAGGCTTTTTTACAATATCTCACCAGAGATGTTATAAGCAAATTACTTCAAGATGTAGTTATCTTGTTGATAATTCTGAAGAGTATGTAAATCATGTTATTGATCTTAGTGAAAAATTATATAATCTTGACCCTGATCTTATTCCAACAAAACTTTACTCATATTATGCTCAAGCACAAGACAAATGCTATACTTTTTTAAAATTTATAAAACCTCATTACATTTCTAAACAAGAATTTGAAGAAATTTACACTTATTTAGCAAATTCATCAGATCAAATGTATCAATATCTTGAAGGATTGAATCAAGCATATTCATACAAATTTACGTTTTTCAAGTTTATCTTACCATATATTTATTTCAGTAATCAAATCCAAAATTCATTACAAATGAAGATTGCTGATTATTATAATAATATTGACCACAATGCATGGGATTTCGTTGATACTGTTCATAAACTTATGAAATTTCTTGCTGAAAAAAGTAAACTTTACAAACAACGAGTTACTGAAAATGGATTAGATAACACCCTTAGCAATGATTTAATTCGATATGTTACAAACTTTCAGCCACTTGCATTAGGTAGTTTCTTAACTACAAAAGATGAATGGAAAAAGTGCCTTGAATTTGCTGTTTCAATTGAAGAACTAATTCACAAATATCCCACAAAAATTCCTGAAGTATTCCATACTACACGAAATCGCTCAACACACATTGATCCATGCATCTCTACATACAAAATTTTACATTGTTACAATGTTAATTCAATTGCTGAATTGAAACAGTTTTTAAAATTAGATTAAAAACTAATTTTTGTATAAATTGATTTATAATTTTCTATCAAGAAGTCAGAGTATAAGATATATCAGTGTATCTTAGTTAAATAGCATTGGATCTGTTTCCAAACCAATTGTAATATGTTAGACATGAATAAAAATCACATTTTTGAATAAGCAACCCTGGATAATTGAAAATGTTTGAACAAAAATTTATGTTATTCACCTATCGAAACGGTAAAAAGATAGAGTATGACGTATATATTCTACGACCTTGTTCATTCATAAAAATACTAATTCTATCATAGGGAAAAAGTACTATCAGGTGTTTTTTATTGAATAGTTGTAAACTAAGCTTGTGATCATTTAAATTTCGAACTACCGGATCTAAATTGTTTAATGTTTATTGAATAATATTCATCAACAAGAGGCATAATAATTGTAAATTTTCGTTGATTGTATTTCCGCTGAACCAACTTTTGACAAATTTTACAATGAACGACGAAGAACTTTCACCGAGAATTATCGCCGTTGGTGATTCTGGTGTAGGTAAAACTAGTTTAATTCATCGTATTAAGAGTGGCTCTTTCCTTGATCAGACCGTTCCGACGATTGGAGCAGGAGTAAATCCAATAGATGTAGAAGTTGATGGAAAAGTTATTTCATGAAGATATTATTTAATTTAATTTTATGCTTCGAAATATTATTCTTGATTTAATACTATGATTCGTATTTTAGGTAAATATTCGGACCTTGAACCCAAGAAGAGGAACTTCCTCAAAAATCAGATACTGATTGTTGAAAAAAGACTATAAAGCATGTTCTTTTAAGTCTATGTTACTTATCTGTGATGCCATAACTGAACAGGCATCATAGAAGAACTCCCTCAACAATCAGATACTGATTGTTGAGGAAAGACTTAAAAGATTGCTCTTAGCATTCTTTGAAGTCTTTTGTTCCTCATCTTGGGCTCTATGTCTAAGCAAGAACCCAAACTGAGGAACAAAGTCGACAATCAGATACTGATTGTTAACAAAAAACTTCAGAGACCGTTCTTAACAGTCTTTGAAGTTTTCATACTATTTTCAGGTAGAGTATCTAAGCGAGTTCCCAAGAAGAGGAACTTTTAAAAAATTTCGACCTTGAATCGAGAATTTTATTGGTAAACTCTTATTATTTATTTTATAATATCATGTAAATCTATTAATTTGACTCAATGTAGTCTTCAAAATTATACAATTGCGAATTAATGACTCTAATTTTTTGTGAATCTTCTAAATATCTCGTTTTTCGAATTTCGTATCGTAGTCGACATCTTCATACAATATATTTTTCTGCTCAAAAAAAAAAAAAAAAAAAAAAAAAGGTAGTGGGGCTTCCAGGCACTTCGTGCCTTCTAGCCCTGAAGATGTTTAGTATAATTGAAGTTTTTATTCGGAAAATTGTTAGTCTTCGGGTGTGAATTCGGAGGACTCTTCTTGGATTGAGTCTTGTGGTTCATCTTCTTGAGTAGAGTCTTCTTCTTCAACATCAAAGTCATCTGGTGTATCGAACTGAATGTATGAAAGCCAAATGTTGTATGTGTTTTCCAATTGGCTTTCAAACTTGAGATACATTCCATGCATGAGTGTTATTTCAGTTTCAACGTAGAGTTGCTGACGTGGCTTGAAGACATGCATGAGAATTGGTCCTCCAAATTCGTCCTTGAAAAATTTGCAGTAGCAAACATAAACTGAGATAGAGTCTCCTTCTTCAATGTCTTCTGCTTGGTTAACGAAATGAATAGCAATTTTGCGTACTTGAATTGTGTTGTTGTCTGAGTAAAATAATGGTTTGAACTTGGGGTTGAGTGAGCTAAGACATTGCCATTTTGCTGTTTCTTGTCCGTACTCACGTTCTTCTTCGTCATCCTGATATCCATAACTCTTTAATTTGAATTCGACCCAAAACTGTTCGACTTTTTTTGCAGCTTTGGGTGGAAGACTTTCAATAAGCTGACATATAGTTCTGTCAACCATTATCTTTGTTATTGTTGGAAAATAGTTGACAATTGTGTCACCTAATTCGAATGGGTCAGGTGTTTCTTTTTGTAGTTTGGTAAAGTCTGCAAGAACTTTGTTGAGTTGTTCACAATATTCTTTGTTAAAAGTTGCAGGAACTCTTTCTTCTGGCTTTGAATTGAAGTATTCTTCAGACAATCTGAGTAGTATTTTGCGTAGTTCAGCGTTGCTGTGGTTCTTTGTAATACGGAGCTCGTTTGGTATTGTTTTTGGTAGTGAAAGTGGCTTTGGATTGAGCGAATTGTCTGTTCTGCTTGGAGAATGTGTAGATGCTGCAGTTTGATATTGAGGCTCTAAACCTGTGGGTGCTGAAAGTTTGCAAGCAATTTCTTCAGGTGAATTTGGAGCGAACACGCTAGCGAATGCCATTAGACAAAAATAAACTGTTTTTTTCGGACTACTCATAGAAAAGTTTAAAATAAACCGTTTTCGTCAACGGTAACCCCCTCTATTTTTTTATTTTATTGAAAAGTCGTTGGCAAACCGTTCCATCTCAAATATTGAATGAACTATAAACGTTTTTTGTTTTCTATACATACTTTTTTGTCCAACGGTAAAACTTTTTACACAACGGTTTTTGAGAGTCGTCGCCGTTGACTTTTTTGTAGAGCACTCAAAATAGTATAACTTTGTCCGGACAAGTAAGGGTCTATCTTCGCTACAGGAAAAGTTACAGGCGTTCCAAGGAAGTATACTTTGAGAAGCCTTTCCCCTTTTAAAACAAGATAGGACCGTTATTTTACAAAACTGACAACACTTTGACCGAGTAGTTTTTTGTGCTGAACAAAAAGTGTCATATAAACATCTGTCGAAAACCGCTTTTTAACTTCACTTAAAATGCCACGTAAGCTACGTAAGAATATACGTAAGAGGAAGAGAGCATTGAAACATCCAATAGTAAGACTGACACCACAACAACAGTTGCAACAACAAATGCTGAATGACCCCACTATGTTGCAACAAATGTCAAGCAATCCTATGCTTTTAAACCGAGTTGTTGGTGCACAGAGTGGAGGTTTAAGAGCGGCACTTTTAGCGAAAATGGCAGGCTATGGTGGAGCTGCAGACGGAACAGCTTATAACCCTCAAAGTCAAATGAATTTGAGTTCACTCAAAAATCAAATAACAGATGTCAAAAAGTCAAACATAGACATACAGAAACAAATAAGTGAAAACGAAAAGAAACTAGAATATGACAGACACACAAAGAAACTCAATGAGTTAAACGTAGAGAAAAAGAAGAAAGAAGAACAACTGAAAGAACTAAGTACAGAGGAATATGCGAAAAAAGTGTCAGAAAAAGCAGCAGAAGTAGCAAAAATGGAACAAGATGTCATAAATTTGAAAAACCATACTACTCAATATAAAATACTGAAAGATGAAGAGATAAAACAAAAAGCCCTGAAGACATATATGGATAGCGATGAGTATAAAAAAGAAGTTGAAGCAAATGTAAAGGCAGAAAAACTTTTACAGTTGCAAAACCAAACCGTACAGTATGAAAACTTAGCACAAGAAAGTAAAAATAACGACGCGCTATGCAAAAGGCAATGAAAAGCGCAGAATATATAAAAGCTAACAATGACTGGTTAGATGCCCAAGCCAACGCTAAAGCAGCCCAACTCATAGGGTCAATAAGGACAAAAATACAAGCGGATGAAGATAGTTCAAATGAAGCTTTAACAAATGCTGACTTTAAGAACGCCTTCGAAGCTCTTCATAGTAAGGTGAAACTAGTGAACGACTTCTCATCTGGAAAGAAACTGAAGTCTGAAGGTTTCGACAAAGAGTTAAAAGAAGTAGCACAAAATATGACGAAAATAACAGATGCAGCAACGAGACAGGCAGTTCAAAGTGCCTATGACGCCGTTAGAGCAACTGTTGTGGAAAGTCAAGAAAAAGAGTTACAACAGACCAAAACAGACCTAGTAAATGCTTTCTTAAAAACGAAAAGTCAGGTAGGACATTATGCTGCAGATGGAACATATGTGCCAGCTGGTGGAACTTATATACCACCAAACCCTCCAAGAGAAGCACCTGCACCAGGACTACCTAACACATTTACATCGTCACATGGACATAGACACAGGCATGCACCACAACAACAACCAAAACCAACACAACAACCAACACAACAACCAGCACAGCAACCAGCACAAACAGAGCAAGGACATAAAAGAAGTAGAGAACAAGGAAACCAAGAATTCTTAAAAATGCTTAAGGAAGAGTATGGTTACCCAGATACTCTTGACTTTAGTGACAGATATAAAGAAGCTATTAGAAAGTTCAAGGAAGGAAATACTGACCCGAACCTATTTAGCTTTATGGCTCAGCACCAAATGGGATATAATTTCAAACCTGGAAAATACAAGCTCGCTAAGGGATATGATTTAATAGCATATCATCCAAATGACATGAATGAATTTACTCCGAGATATTTGGTGTCAGAGCTAAATGATAATTCAACTCTCTTCATGAAACGCGTAAAAAATAGAGACGGAACGAAAAAAGAAAGGTTTATGAGTCCGGATGACTTAGATAGGGAACTTTTTAAAAACGGTCTCGGAATATATGAAATGCCAGCAGATGAGGTACAAGAAACTCCACAGGAAGAAGTTCAGATACAACCAGACATGGAAGAAATAGTTCAGCAACAACAGCTAGAAGAGCCTGAAGGAAACGAACAAGTCACTCCTTTGGAAACTAACTTCACAGAACTAGATGAAGATTTGGAACAGCCGAAAAATCTTGACCCTCAACAAGAGTATGCGGAGAATATGGAATATTTCCAAGAGTCTAAAAAAAATTCGGCTGACATAGTAGAAGAATATCGAAAAATGTTTGCCGACATACAAAAGACTCCAACACAGATGAAAATATTCAGCATAGAATGGAAGAACTGAAAGAAAATGTACACAAATACAACAACCCTTTTTACTTACGAGCATTTAACGTTCAATCTTCGGATGAACTCGGTGAAGATAAAAGGTTAAATTTCAAGAAAACATATAGAAATGAAACATTGTTTAAAGTTCATTCAGAACCTAACCAAGATGGAAACAAACCTACTTTTGTTTCTGCAGACGATGGAACTACAATGAGATGGGGTCATAAAGCTAATCCAGATAGGTGGTTCATAAACTTACAACCACAATTCCAAGAAGTTGTAGACGCAATGGAAGTCAATGGTGAACCAGATATAGCTGGTATTTTAAGCGCGGCTTTAATGCCATTGAAAGATATGAAAGATGCAGATATTTTGGACCAGTATGAAATGAACATGGCTGATGGAAATATAACACCTGACGTTCTAGAACATTTATCTCAAAGAACTACACAGAACCATAGAGATGGTATATTTGGCGAAGAGTTTAGAAAGAAAGTTATGGACAGCGAAGGAAGAGAACCTATTGTACATGACCTTGCAAACGAAAGTTTACAAAATGTCATAAAAACTTACTTTGCAGACAATGAACCGAGAAGGGATGAATATTTAAGAAAACTCAAATGGACAGTACCAAATGAAATGTTAGTATTGAAAAACATGTTCCTTGACAAAATAAAACCAACTACAGAAATAAACGACGCAAGACTGAAAGATTGGGTAAAAGCTTTCCCATTCACAAAAGATATTGTTGGTAACATGGAAAGAAAACCAGAATGGCTACAAAAACATATATTTGGAAACGAGCATATTCCATATGGACAGGCACTGTTTGAAGAGCTTGAACCAGAAACTCAGGAAAGAGTCATGCAAACAATACGCGAAGACTCAAATACAGACTATGACAAACTCTTTCTAGGATATAGGTTACCTGAGATGGGCGACCAGAGCCAAAAGGCAAAAAGGACATGGGAAATTTGCAACATACTAGATGAACATAATGCAAAGATGCAACAACTTCAAGCAGAGGGCAATGAAGGAAAAAGAAGAGTTAAAAACTCAGTCAGGAAGAAAGTAAAGCTTGGTCGGAGTGGGTTCTATTATGACATATAAATCCAACTATTCTATATTTTTACTCATATGAAATGTACGCCGCTCAGAATATAACGCCAACAGTTTTGGATGCCATGAATGGAAATGTTTCCGAATGGTATAACGAATGCGACAATGCCATTAGAAGGTCAGAAATAGTTCCTGGAACTTACGAATATACAACTGCTGTTTCTTATGGAAACGTAGGTGAGTTTGGAGAAGGTTCTTCAACAACAGTAGATATTGCTTGCGACAGGTTTCATATAATTTCTATTGACAACTCTTTCTTATACGTGGAACAAGACATTGAAATAAAACCTTCTGCCAAGTTGTCTGACAAGAAAGGCTGCAATGGAATTTTCTATGTCGGATACCAATATGCTCCAGAAGTTTTCATGGGATATAAGATATATTCTAACTCTGACTTAGTTCAAACAGTAACATGGGCAAACTATGAATGGTTCGCTTTGAGAAACTCAGTACAACCACAAGCTAGAGAACAAACAGACCAGTATGCAACTATTGAGAAAATAAGAAGACTTGACCCTAACGTTCCAGGAGTTTATGTTAACCTTTCTGGACAAACTGCAGCAGCAGTAACCAAAGTAAAACTGAAACTTAGAGTTCCTTTGTCATCTTTCCTCATCTTCAGGTTTTTAAGATACTTGCCAAACTGGGCAGGAAAAATTTCTATCGAACTTACTCCAAGCAAAAATAACTTAGTCATTGCACCAACACAAGACCCATTCACTCTTACAGACGTAAAGGGAGCAAATCAAACGTCATTCGCCGAATTTTGCAAAGACAAAGTTGACTTAGACTTTGGTTTCTCAAACCTCAACACTGATGTAAACTACTACTTTCAATGCTGCTGGAACTGCTTGGGACCCAGTTAAGTTCACATGCGAAAAGTTTGAATGCAAGAGAATAGAAAGCAGACTTGCAGTCTATATGTTGGACCCAGATATTTCAAATGCTTTAGCTGCCAAATATATTGCAGTTCCACTTATGTTCCCTATACACCAAATATCTGTCAAAGACTTTGCAGGTGAAGTTGGAAACCAAAGTGCTGACCCAGGTGCAAGAACAGATATTGCTTTAACAACTGCAATGAAACATGCAGATACTATGTTTGTACTGTTCAGACGAACTATAAATGACTATTCTTGCTTCTACAACCCTGGTATTAAATACCATATAAACATAGATGGCAAATACTATCCAAGAGAAGAATATTCTACAGTTGAGGATATGAGGTCATACAACTTGACATTAGATGCTATGAACTTTAACAACAACTTCACAACAACCATTAACCCTGAAATGCAAAGTTCTATTATGCCATATGTGAAAGTATGGACTCATACAGGAGTCAAAACACTCAATATACAAATGGAGACCGTTCAAACTTTTGGCTTGGCATTCCATTTGCTGACTCAGAAGACTTTATGGGTGGTATTTCAACTGTTGGTACAGTTCAAATACAATATACTGGTGACAGAGACGGTCCAATGAATTGAAAGCAAAGAAGTTTACAAAACCAATAGCACTTTTCACGGAAGATGCTCTTTTGAAAATTCGTTCGATGAAACCTGCTGGGGCTCCTCAGATTGGCATAACGACAGCTTCCATCGAGCAGATTTTGGCAGCAGGTCAGTAAGTTGTTCTTGAACTGACTTCTCTCCGTCAAATATTGACAGTACGCCAGTTTTGATATAATATTGTATTAAAACTTTCCTTTAGAAATATCGGTCAGTTTTGTTGTTATATTTTTGTCTGCTTCAAGAACTTTCACCATCTCGGTTATACCAACTTTCTTTGCTTTATGAAAATATTTTGGTTCAGCAAAGACTGCTATTCTATAACATTTTCCATTGTTTGTATAAAGAACTATTCTGTCAATGAACTTGTATTGTTTGTGTGTGTAAACTTTGTTTTGCTTCAATTCGAAGAGATACTCAAATACGTCCATCTTTTTATTCTAAGTAAAATGTCATTTCCGAAAAATAGAAGCGTAAGTGTTTCAAAAGGTTTAATGGCGTGGCAGATGTGAAGTTAAATTCACCAACTCAAACAAACAGTCAAAGTGTTGTTGTCAATGTCAAAGAAAGAGATGTTGAAGTGGGGAAACCATACGAAGACGAAGATGGTATAACAATAGTTCCTGTAAAAGAACAACCAACATATCCTGAAGTTAGCAGAGACTTAAGTTCTGTTGCAGATATTCGAAACGACTACCAACAACTTAAAGACAAACTTAAAACTCAGGAGAAGATTTGTCAGGCTTTGGGTATAATGTTAAACTTGGTCGAACACAACCCTGTAAAAGTGAACTCATATGTCATTGCACCTCATGAAGTTTTGAAAGAACTATTGAAACTTTTGACAGAGGCAGACGATATAAACATCAAAGAAATAGAACCGACATTGCTGTGGTGTTTCATATAATGTCATTGACAAGATATACGTTATGAAAGGAGGTGAAACGTTGAACTTAAAATATAGTTTCCCAGACGTCATAAAAATATTTGACGACCACAACATTTCATTAAAATTTACTTGCTAAGTAAATGGCAGAAGACATAGTGGTTTATACTATTACGACTAAAAACCCTGAGTCATATAATTCTATAACAACAAACTTACAAAGTCCTCAAGGACGATATTGTAAACTGACCTTAAACACGATGACGACTAAAGCCTGTTTTGCTCTTTTGACACCAGAAGACTTTGTTGTTGTGAATGGTAAAAAATACTTCTTTGAAGATACTTACTCAGATATACCACCAACAGGTTTTGTTGACTTATTTAATACTTTAAGGACGGATGTAACATGTGCTGCAACTAGAGCAGGTTTCATTATGTTTGGATGTCCGACTGAGTTTAGTATAAACGATATGAGCTATAATACAAAACTTATATCTGGTTTTTACTACCAACAGTTTCCTATAACAGGAAAAGGTGTCATACAAGGTCTATCTGTTCCATTGACTTTAAGCACACCTATTTTATATATTGTTTCAAACTTAGGTTCAAAGTGTTATTCGAATGTCGACAGAAACTACTATGACCAAAAGATACTCATGCGTATAAACAACACTTTCTCTGCTGGTTTGCCTATTGTTCATTCGAATGCAGAGTTTTCAGCTTTAGTGAACTCAAACACTTTAGCAAACATAAACTTAACCTTAGTCGACGCAAACTTTGTTCCTGTAAAACTTTTATGTCCTATGTATTTGTCAATGACGGCAGAAAGTTTCGAATTGGAAGATGCAACTGGTGAAAGTATTGTACTACAAGAACAACTTCAACAACAAATAGCTCAAGAACAACAAATGCAACAAATAGCTCAAGAATAAAAAAAATATTTTTTTTTATTTTTATAAAAATGTACGCTGAGTTTGTTGGAGAAGACCGTTGGGAAACTTGTTTGTTAGATGAGAAATATGAAATTCACTGTTGTGAGTCATTTGAAGTCAGAAACAAAAAGACAAAAAGAGTTTTAAGCGGATGGGAGCGAAATGACGGATATGCTATGATGAGGATGGGTGGAAAAAACTATTTTAAACATATTGTCATTGCAACTCATTTTATACCGAATCCTAACAATTTACCTCTTGTAGACCACATAAACCGTATAAGAAACGACAATAGACTTGAAAATTTACGTTGGGTCACTCTTTCTGAAAACAATAAGAACAGAGGCAAATTTGGAGATATTGTATTCGAATTTGTCGACGAACTAGAAGATGAAGCAATTGAAATTACAGACTATGGCAAGCATACGCTTGAGTTTTACTACTATAGCGAAGAACAAGACTCTTTCTACTTTTATACCGGTGTAAACTATAGAAAATTACAAGTATATTTTACTAAGGATGACTATGCTTATGTAAACACTAGAGATACAGATGGAAAACACGTTCATATACTTCTTAACAAATTCAAGAAGCTATATGGCATACCATTTTAAAACGTTTTTTAAAAAAAATATTTTTTTATCCGATAGAAAAGATGACGAAATATATTTCAGTCAACAAATATATGACAGAAGTCAAAGATAAGTTAGCTCCATTCGCTTATTTGAATGTTTACTTCTACCATTTTGAAAAGTCTACATTTGACAAAGTTTGGAACATCGAACCGGTTAAGTTTGCTATTGTGACTAAAAATGGTGCGAAATTTGAAGACTTAGACATAGAAGGTTTGTTAGCAGTCAAAGAAAATTTTGACAGAAGGTTCTCAAACCTTAAAGAAGGCAAAGCATACAAACTTGTTATACCTTATGAACCAAAGAAGACAGACGACTATGAATATTATGAGTCTAAGATAGTTGAAGTTCAAGGTAAGTTGGGTAAAAAGATTTTAGAGTCTAAGCCAGTGTTTGCCCTAAAGAGGAAGAGAACATTGACATTGACCCAGAAATGTTCTAAAAATAAAATTTTATTTTTACATGTCAAATTTCTTTTTCTCTGGAACTGGTTCAGGTTCTTTCTTCTCTTCTTCTACTTTCTTTTCTTTCTTTTCTCTCTTCTTCTTCTTCTCTGGTGGAGTTATGTCAAATTTCTCCGAACCATATTTCTGTAAAAGTTCTTTGTCCTTTAATAGCTCTTCTATTCTGTTTTCTATTTCATCTTCAAGAACAGCGCATGTGTCTTCTTTGCATTCTAAGAACTTTTGTTGGACTTCATCTTTCCAATCGGCGTCATCTCTGTCAACAAGTCTGTCATTGACAAATTTTAAGACTGCTCTTTGTAATGTTTTATGGTTCTTGTCATATTCCCAGAAACAGAACTTTAGAACAAATTCACCTTTCTTGTTTACACTATGTAAGATTTTATGGTCGACAGATGTTTTGCTGTCAAAAAGTTTGTCTCGAATATAGATAGCGAAATCGCTAGACATTTTCTAAAAGATAAAATTTTTAATTTTTCTAAAAATATGTTAGAAAAAAAGTTTGCTGACATTGACAAGAAATTTGAGAATGTTTTAAACAAGAACAAGAGGAAGTTAGAAAATGCTCAGATAAAACCCATACATGACAAGTTCTTATTTGCTCAGAATGGTATAACAGGTCTAATTGCACCACCTGGGTCGGGTAAGACTTTCACTTATCTTAAAATGGCTGCACAACAACAAGAACTAGATGAGAAGAACCCATTCTATGAGTTAGTTGTCATTTGTAGTACTTCTGGTCAATTTGACCAAACCGTCAATTCGTTCAAAGATATTATAAAGAAGTCTAAGTTAGTATGTATAAAAGACTCTGAGTTGTTAGATTGGATAAAGAAGTACCAAAGAAGAGTTTTGAAGTACAATGCTATAAATGAGTATGTCAATTCGAAGTTTAAAGACCCAAATGAGGAAATGCAGAGAATATTAGAGAAGAAACACTTCAGAAACAAACAGAAAGAGATAGAATACATTTCGAAGAAATTGCAATCTTACGATTGGAAGACATACCCTCATAGATGTCTTCTTATCTTAGATGACTTTGCTTCTCATCCTTTGTTAAAGAACAGAGAACAAGACATGTGTCGAATTCTTAAGAAGCTCAGACACTTTAACATCTCAGTTGTCATTTGTGTACAGACAGCCAAGAGTTTAAGTAAGGATGTAAAGAGAATACTTACTGACATTATACTTTTCCCTGGATTGTCCGAAGACGATTTCATGGAACTTATGAAAGAGTCCATGGCAGGTAAGTTTGACAGACATGAACTATGGGAGAAGTACAAAGTCATACAAGACCCTCATACTTCTTTCAGAATTCATATCTACGCGAACAAAGTTCAAATTGTAAAAAGTCAATAAAAATAAATGGTTCATTTACTCTGCTTGTTTGAAGTTGTCAAAATACTCTGTTATTTTTCACGATTTTCATACGGAATTCAATAAAAATATATTTTTAGGGTAGATGGGTATATCTAACCCGATTTCTAACCTCATTTCTACCCCATATGTCCTTACTGAAAAAGTATGTGTTCCATCTGTCATTTTACTCAGAATTTTACTCAGAATTCAATAAAAATATATTTTAGGGTAGAAGGGTATATCTACCCCGATATCTAACCTCTTTTCTACCCCAGTTATTTTATAAGCGTTTTACATGGTAAACATTGTGAATTCGTGAAATTCTAAACAATTTCGTAGCTTCTATTTCTTCTGTCAGTACATCGAATGTTTTAACAATGCCGAAGGTTTCTTTATACTTCTTCTTGACATCTGAAAGAAGGAAATCGTCAGCTGTTGGATAGTTTTTGTTTAGAAATGTCAACATGTCCATTTTATCTTCTGCTGGTTTCTCTGCCTCCCTCTTTAAGTCAGCATAGTCGTTTCTCATACGTTCTATCTCTTTGACGGAGTAGTTATATTTCCTAATTGCTGCCTTACATTTTGAACATTGCGGGTTCATTTTTGCGTTATATTCTGAAACCTTACCTGCTAGTATGACTAAGGCGTCAATTGCTCTCTTTAACTCAAAAGTTGCGGGTTTTATCTGTTCATTCCATATCTTACCTCTTCTATCTTTATCTCTTATCTGCCATACACATTTTGCAACTAACGAAACAAAGTTGTCGTAGGTCTTAAACTCCCCAGATTTGTATATGTCAGAGATGTTCTTATATACCATGTCGCAATCTTTGTCCATGACTTTGTGGTTGCAATGAAATCCAAGGAATTCATAGTTAACCTTTCGTATGAACTTCTTTATTTCTACTGAGTCAGTTGCTTTGACTTCTATTTCATCGAATTCTGGAATAGTAAGCTTTTGTTGTTGGATTTCAGGAAGTTTAGGTAAATGGTCAATAATATCCTGCATTTCATAAAGATACTGTTCATTTGTTTCATCTTTCGCACAACAGTCCAAAGTACTTGTTAAAAGTTCTTGCTTTATCTTCTGGATTTTTGTTTCGAAAGTATATGAAGAAGGAATGAAGCTTTTCATCTCTACTAACATTGAAGTTGGGTTCATGACTAACGAGTTTGGTGCTGTTGTTGCTAACATGTTCTTACAATAAAAATAAAAAAATATTTTTTTAAAAAAACCAACTTTATTTTTTATTTCGGGAAAACTCATGACAAATTCAAGAGGGTAGAAAAGAGGTTAGAAAAGAGGTTATATCTAACCTTCTACCCTAAATTATATTTTTGCTGAATTCATGAGTTTTGGTTGAAAGAATACGGTGGAGCCAAAAGTGGCTCGACCTCAAAACAAGCATTTTCTGTATAAAATTCATGAAAATTCAAGAGGGTAGAAAAGAGGTTAGAAAAGAGGTTAGATATACCCATCTACCCTAAATTATATTTTTGCTGAATTCAGCAACAAAATTCAAATTGTAAACGGTTTAATAGAAAAAGTGTTATTTTTTCATGTCCGAAGACTCGAAGGTGCAACACTTCCAAAATACCGACGAACTCAGAAGAGCAGCATGGCAGTATGTTCTTGACAACTTCTTTGAGTTCTCCAGGAACACCTTGGAAAATGCTGAAGAACTCCGACACAGAGAATTTGGAGAAATTGCACTCCAATACTACCTTGACAAACAAAGGGTAAACAAAGGGTAAACAAAGGGTAAAATAAGACTAAAAACTTAACGTTTAAAAAGTGACATTTTTATGAGCTCCGAGTCACCGAGAAAACTTGGTCAGATGTTAGCAGCTTACTTCCCTGAGGAGGATGGAAGCGTTACATACGTAAGGTTCAAAAACAACGAACCTGGAATTGCGTACCAAATTCGCAATTACATGACCATGGAAGAGTACGAAAGGTTTCTACAAGAGAAACCAGCTCTAAACAACTCAGAAAAGAAAGAGTAAAAAGTTTAACTCGTAATTGTTTATTTTTTTACTTGTATGGGCAAGCTGCAAGAATGAAGTCGACTATCTCGGTCTTTGTCTTGACCAGTTGGACTGCTCTTGCGAGTACGTCTGTTTTACGGTCTCCAGCTGGTGTCTGACCTTCGTAATTGCGCATGTTCTTGAGAGCTCCAACTGTAAATGGTTGTAGGATGAAGAGTCTCTCAGACTGCTTGAGGTAGTCTTCACGGTCACGAACCGAATCTGTGGTACGAGTCGAATCGGTCGATTTGAGGGAAGAGAGTGAGAGCCTGTCTTCTTCCATAGGGGCTGTGGCATACTCTTTGCGTAAACGGTTCAGACCTTCTTCGAACTCTTGGTCTCTCTTCGATTGGGATTGAGATTGGAATTGGGGTGGAGGGTTTGACATGAACATCCAAGGGTTAGGGAAGTAAGGCATGGGTTGAGGTGGGTAGTTTGGAAAGCCTTGTGGTGGGTAGTAACCTTGAGGTGGGTAGTAACCTTGAGGTGGAAATTGGTAGTAATTCGGAGGTCCTTGTTGGAACTGAGGTTGCTGTGGGTAGCCTTGTGGAGGTGGAACCTGTTGTGGTGCTGGAGCATGCTGTTCTTCTGGCTGTGGAACGGGTTCAGTAGGTGGGACGTCGGACATTCGTTTGTGTCTTAACCGTCTTTGTTCTGAAACAATATAATATTGTCTTGAAAAAGTACAACATTGTCTTGAATAAGTACAATATTGTCTTGAAAAAGTACAACATTGTCTTGAAAAAGTACAACATTGTTCTGAAAAAGTTCAACATTGTCTTGAAAAAGTACAACATTGTCTTGAAAAAGTACAACATTGTTCTGAAAAAGTTCAAGACTTGTTCTGAAAAAGTACAGCTGTCCTCAAATTTGAGAGACATTGTTCTGAAAAAGTACAATATTGTCTTGAAAAAGTACAACATTGTCTTGAAAAAGTACAACATTGTCTTGAAAAAGTACAACATTGTCTTGAAAAAGTACAACATTGTCTTGAAAAAGTACAACATTGTCTTGAAAAAGTACAATATTGTACTGACTCAGTATGGAGCTTGACCCCTTAGACGAAGCAATTTATCTAATTGAGGTAAATGAAACCGTGAAGGAATATCTCAGCAAGTGCAAACCAAGCAAGTCCATTGGCTTCTGGTTGTCCAAGAATAGTGTCTTAAAGTTGGAAATTGAAACAGGTGTTGCAATTCAAGTTCCAGAAGGCACTGCATTCGATGATATTAAGGATGTGAAGAAAGAAGCCCTCTTGAAGTTCTTCATGAAACGTCCTTGGATACTACTTCCATATCGTGAGAGCCCAATTCCACGAATTACACAAATTCTCAGAGCACTACTTCACTACTCTGGACAGCCGTTCTTCATAACCTCAGAAGGCGACATCCAACCAATTCAGTAAACATCTCATTTTAACTTCACTTTTTTTATGTTTTTACTCACACTCGTACTCAACAGGTTTGTGTACAACTATTTCAACTGTGAACCTTGTATTGACCGGTCTTCCTGCAAATGCAAGTTCGGTCAATACACAATTTATGGTGGCAAGAAAGACAGTGGGGAATGTTATTCTGACATCTGTTGTTGCGCTCGAGAGAGAATTGAAATTCCAGACCCAACTCCAACAAGAACTCTCAAGTTGCCGAAGACTCATGTGAAGAAGAAGCCTTCTGGTAAGTTTCTTATAGCCATCTATATGGCACGCTTTGAGTAAAAACATTTTTTTTTTCTTTTTTGAATGAAGCAAGTTAAATTCGTCCCACACCAATCTCAATGGACCGATGAAGAGTTTCAAGCTATGGTTGAAGGTGTTGAGAACGACATAGACGGCGAACTTGAAGGAGCTCAAACCACAATTGCAACCAAAATTGCACAAGTCAAGGAACAGATAGCTCCACTTAAAGCTACCAAAGCTACTCTTGACCTCATGGATAGTTACCGTTTAGATGTCAAGAGAGGAATAAGACAATTAAAATTAAAACTCTTAAATTACGAAGCTATACTCCAGAAGTTAGCAGAGATGAGAAGACTTTACCAGAGCTACTTACATGTAAGGGACTTACCTTCAAGCAGTCCGACCAAAGATGAATTTTCTGACATTGTCCCAATTTTGTCCGAAAGTCAGCTCAGATGTTTCGAACTGCTCCCAACATATCCAGAATATGAACGTTTGCCTGAACTCTTCCGCAATCTCAAAAAACGTTTTTTGGTTCTCATGTTCGAAACTTTTATCGGAAGAGACAACAAACGTTCAGAAGAAGAACAAGATATTATTTTAAACTTGTTGTATGACTTAACCGTCATAACAAGCTTTTTGAAGTAAAACCGTCATTCTCAAACCACTTCATTTTTTCGATGTCCGAACAAGCACCGAAGCCGAACACAATGGCAGATGTCCTTTCAATGTTGCCAGACAAGCGCCCAGTTCAAATTCAAATTTTGAATTTGAAAGCTCATCTGACAAACACCGTTAAGACTCTCCAAAGTAGTCTTATGGAAGAGATGACCAAGCTCAAAGCCGATGTCCTCACGAACCAAGCTTCCAATGAGAAAGTCCTGAATGATTTGACGGAAACCTTGCGCAATTACGAGAGAGAGAACCGAGACCTTGCCAGACTCATCTACCGTTTCTTCGAAGAGATAGACGCCATCTGGAAGGTACTCGGAAAGGACAGAACCTCCAACACCGTAATTCGTGAACACAGAATTGAAGAAGGAATTGTCGAGGAAGAAGAGGAAGAAGAGGAAGAAGATGAAGAAGAGAAACACGAAGAAGAGGAAGTTTGGGCAACCCTTGTTGCCGATGACGCTTACGAAATTTCCCAACCCTACCCATACCAAATCCGCAACAAGGAGACAGGCAAGGTTCTTACCCCAGTCCTCAACAACTTGGGACACTTGAACCTTAACCTTCGGAATCGCGGTTCAATCTCCATGGGCAAGCTTGTCGCAATTCAATGGGTTCCAAATCCAGACAAGAAGACGAGGGTCAGACACATTGACGGTGACAAGCTCAACAACCGTAAGGAGAACCTCGAGTGGTTCTAAGAGTAAAAAAATTTTATTTTAGGGGGAAACCCCGAGTAAATTTAGGTGTTTAGTTCATTAAGTGGGTTAAATTAAGGGTAATTTGGACAATTAGCTCCCGACCTCTGAATTGGACTCTTTCGTCATCCCAGTTGCGTAGGAGGTCGTCCCAGAGGAGTTGGTAGAATTGCCATTCCAAGGACGATTTGTCCTCCCAGGCATTGAGGATGTACTGCTCGTAGAGTCTCATGACCTCTGCCTTGCACCAGACACCCTCTCCCTTGGAACGTAAGGCTTCTTCGAAGTGCTCGAATGCGATTGGCTGCGGGACCATCTGAAATGACACTTTTTGTCCGTTTGGTCAATGTTCGTGTCTCGTGTCATAGTCGACGAAAATACAAACAAACAGGTTATATATGAGTTTGAGACCAAGAATGGTGTAACTCGACCTGTCCGATTCAAATTCGAATAAAAATTTTTTACTTCATGCAATGTTTTATTTCTGTGCCGTCTTCAAGTATGCCCCAGTACTTACGCTTGGAGAGGACATGAACTTCGGTGAAAATTTTGTCCAATTTGAATTGACCCATCTTTTCACCGACCATTCCCATTTCAATGAGTTTGTTGTATCCTTCTTCGTTCGTCATGAGTGCGTCAATGTTCTCATAGTAAACCACAACTTTCGATTTGACTTCGGAGAAGAATTTGTTGTAGTTGTCAAGGACTGCCTTTGCGAACTGAGGGTAGGACCAATGTTCGACAATAGGTTTTAATGTGGTTACTAAGCCACTTTGACCTTGAGTGAATTCGTATTTCAAAACAAAAGGAGAAAACCTTTCAACAAAGTTGTCGACCTTCTCATAATGTTTACTCTTCATCTTTTGAGGTTTTTAATGGAATATCCCCATGTCGAATTCATAAGCAATTTGAGTGTCATTGCAAGTTTGGGGTTTGAAGCTTTCCTAATATCATACAGTTGTTGTATGACTTTTCCAACTGTATAGTTCCTTCCTGGGAACTCACCGTCTTCGTTTGGAATTCCAGTCGGGATATATTGGACGAACCTCATGTGCAGCGTTAAGGTCGACATAGTATATCTTTTCATTGAGTCGAACTTGTCGCAACCAATGGGTCCAGTTCGTGGAAATTCAAGTGAGTCTCTTATCTTCTGAGAAACTTCGCCTGCTATCTCATAAACATCGTCGAAGCAACCTGTTTCATATAAAACCTTCTGACCTAACTCAGATGCTCTCCAATACAATTTGACGTCAATTGGATGTCTCAATGGAAGTTTGTTTATAGCATCTTGAAGTTCTTGCAACCTCATTGGAAGTTCTTCTGGTTCAGGTTGGTATCCGAACAATCCAACTCCTTTTGGAACTGTGTACTTCTTTTGTACTAGAACTTTGTCTGGAACAACTTTTGGTCTTGCTAACAATGAAAAGTTTGTTTCGTCTTTTGGTACAAAAGTTTCTGTCAGCTTGTCATCTGGAATTGGTTCCAACAAACCTTTCTCGAAAAGAATGTTTACAGCTCTGACAATGTTGCACTTGCCTTTTCCGAACAATGGGTTTGTAAGACTTTCGTTCAACATGAAGTGGTTGTGGACAATTACAATCTTCAACCATGGTAAGTCTTTGTCAACAACATAGTCGTCATGTGAAGAACCTTTAGCTGTAGGTATGTTGACTCGGATATTGACATTTGCCAACGGTGCAATTTTGCCAATTGACCTCTGAGAATGTACCTTGTCTTCACACATGACTCAAGATACTTCATCTTCTCATCTGTAACAAGACCAGAGTTCCTGAGACATGTAAGAATACAAGGTTCATTGACAATTGTTTCAATTGAATTGTAAATTCCATACCTTGTCAAGTCAATGTCAGACTTATTTATGAACGGGAAGTATCCAGCATGTTGTCTGACTGCTTGAGGGTTAGGTTGGTACCATTCGAACTTACACTTGCAATTCCTTCAATTGCATTCAAAATGTCTGAGTCGGAGTCAACCATTTGTTCTCTCTTTGTAGTCTTGAAAGCGTCAAGAAGCATTGCAGCTGTTGTGACATTGCCATGTGCATAGTAAATGTGACCATCCAAATCTGTTACGGTTAGTCTGAGATTGTATCCTTTCTTATTTCCGTCTTGAATTGCAGCAAGTACTCCCATGAAGCCTTCTTTGTTCTTTCCTTCGTCAAAGTTTACTGTAAAGGTTCGACCAGATGTAATTTGACTTCTAACTTCACGATACTTTCATATGCATATCTTGTTCTTTCCATGGGAGCATGTGCGTCTTCACCTTTTCCTTTTTTCCTTCTCAAAGGATGCAATTGTTCGTCATGTTTCCAGTAGAATCTGGCAAAGCCGTCGTGTCCTTCAACTTGAGGTTCACTAACATCGAAAGGCATGTCCATAAGACGTTCTTCTTCTAACCTCTCTAGTCTGTTTGGATAATTTGCGCGTGCTGTTTCCAAGTCCATTTCATAGCGAAGACCAGACAATTTGTCATAGACTTTTATGGGTCTTCCCTTCCTATATTTAAACTTCTTTGAAACTTTCCAACCATATCTTTCTAACTCTGCTTTTATTCTAGCAGATTTTCTATCCATTCTATATGGGGGCATTTTTATAAAAATAAAAAAATATTTTTTTCTTTACTTTACATAACCGCCTGCTGCCATAAGTCTTTGACGCCAACCCATACCAGCTAATGAAGGTTGACTTGGTTTAGTTTGGAAACTAACTTTGGTTTTGGTTTATCTTCAGTTTTTGGCTCCCTTCTTCTATCGGTTTTTCGTCACTTTTCGGTTCCTCTGACTTTACCTCACTTGCAGGTATGGTTGTGTCGTCAACATCTTCATAAATATCATATGCCATTTGTTTTTGTTTTCCTTTCAACTTTTTGTGTTTGTTGTAAAGTTTAGAATATTTCGACTCTAAGTCAATGAGATGTTCTATAATGAACTGTTGGTCAGTGAAGTAAACTTTTCCATCTGTTGTCTCGAAAGCTCCTTCAGACTTCAATATTTTATTTGTGAGAGTCTGTTTCTTTTTTGAGATACTAGCCGTTCCATTTCTATGAAAAGTGACTTTGTAGTTAGGGTTTGTATTTCCAGACCTGGCACTTTCTATTATTGAATTTTTCTCTTCATCTGTAAGTTCTTTGACAGGTTTTGACAATGGTTCTGAACTTTTTGTTTGTGGTGTCAAATCTACCGTTTCAACTTCTTCGGTCATTTCATCTCAGTAAAAAATTTTAGTTTGGTTTGTTTTCAACTGGTTGTTTAGGTTTTTTAAGTCGGTCTAAAACTTCCTGAGGTATAGGAAGAACTTGACAAACACGTGGTTGTGTAACTGCTGGAAGTCGACAAATCCATCTTGAACCCATTTGTCTCAATGCTGTATTGTTCATTTCATCTCAGTAAAAAATTTACATTCCCCACGTTTGAGGCGGTTGCGGTTGGTTGTTTGTTTACCCACTGTTGTGCATGGTTATATCCTCTGTTAAAGAATCTTTCACCTTGGTCCATATAGTGCCCTGCTTGGTTATAGTAGTCATTTGCTTTGTTATAGTAGTTTCCTGCTTGTCTTCCTACATTGTCCATCCATCCTTGAACTTTTCCTCTTGTTTCAGGATTTGGAATAAGATTTGCTGCATCTCGTGCTACCTCCCAACCTTTCTGTACAGTTTGTATAATAGGTTGTGCTTTCTCTTTAAGTATACCTAATGTACTCAAAATCTTCCTTCCAATTCCAAATGCACCTCTGGCTATTGTTCCCACTGCGGGCAAAAATCTGGATGCAACTCCTGCTAATGCGCCAAATAAACCCATTTCTTATAGGGTAAAAAATGACGAATCCAAACAAGGACCCCTATGTTTCTAAAGCGACAAAGAAAGCACTCATGATAAAAATCTTTAGTTCAACACCAAATGCTTGGTTTATGGATATCTTGGAAAACATTCCGAGGTATAGAGAAGATGGACCACCATACTGGCTAATATTTGTCGGTCAAAACACAAGATACTGTGAAGCCATACCATTACAGTCCAAAAATATTTTAGATGTGAAAACTGCTTTGACAATATTCGTTGACAAATACCATCCAACAAAACTGACATCTGACTGTGAAAGTTCTTTCAAATCAGACGATATTAAAAACTATCTGCGTTCAAAAAATGTAAACCAATATTTCATTGTCGACCAAAACCATTCTGCTCTTGGTGTCATTGACAGTTGTATAAAAATCTTAAGAGACTTAAACCAACCACAAGGTGGTGAAGCAAATGAAATGTCATATGACGACAAATATAGACACTTCTCCATGGCAAAGATGAGACAAGTTTTAAATATTTACAATAGCCGTAAACAAAAAGGTTTGGGAAACCACTCCCCCGAAGAAATGAAAAACAACCCCGACTTAGAGAAAGACTATATATTTAATAGTTTAGTCAAAAGAGACAAACAAGAAAGAATGCCAGGCTTCAAACTTAAGAAAGGTGACAAAGTAAAAATAGAAATACCTAAACGCGACCCATATGAAAATACTATTGACTATGACAACAATGGGAACTCGACAGGTACTCGCATTCGTGTTCGTAAAAATAGAAGAAAGTATACAAGAGAATATTATGAAGTTTTAGGCAAACATGGCAAAATGTACAGACTGCAAGCAGAAGATAAAACTACTATTGTCAGACCTCGTTTCAAACTTGTCAAAGTTCAAGGTGGTATACTTTCAAAGACAGTTCCTAACAAATATAAGACAACTCCTGACGAATATGCTAAAGAAGTTGAAAATGACGACTAAGCAATTCTATACCATGCGTAAACTGTCATGTAAGGTGGCATGTAGTCTTTACTTTGTCCCGTTGTTTGCGTATATCCTGAAACGCGATGTGTATGGTTTCCTCTCCCTGAGTGTCACTCCAGTAACAATTTATAGCAAACTTAACGTCGTCTTTAACATCATATCCTTTACCTTTTTCATTCTGACCAATCCCAAAATCTATGCTTATGCCAACCTGCTTCAGATGTACTTAAATTATGTAGTGACTGTGTGCAGGTAAATTTTCACCTGAAATCGTTTTACTTCCACCTGTTTCCTTTGAAGAGTTTGCACAATACAAAAACCTGTCGACTATTTGAGTCCAAGTTCCAAAACCAAGTAACTTCTGGTCTGGTAGAGTTCATTGACGTATAAATAGAACCTATAGGATATACTGTTTGAAGTATTTCTGTCTTTAACGTTTGAAGCTCTGTTTTGTCAGCTTTTTTATCTAACTCATCGTTAACATATGTTTTGTCAGCTTTTTTATCATATAAATCTTGAGCAGTGAATTTAACTTTGTTTTCATCCTCCATGACATAGACATTTCTACATCTAATGTATCTCATCGTTGTTATGTCTTCTTCCGATGTTAAACCTTGTGGAAAGTTAGGAGGTTTCCAATTTAATACATCCCCACCAGTTTCTTCAACCGTTCCTTCAATATTTTCTATACCAACAGTTGCGAAGAAATCGTGTGTATGTCCAACGTCACTTTTCCTGTTTAAGGTTTCTTGTAAGTTTGTAATATCAGATATGGTATGTGTATGAGTCTTTTTAGAATATTCTTTGTCAGCTCTTGTCACTTCACTTGACATTTTATTGTCAACATATGTTTTATCTGCTTTGTCATCTAACATTGCTGGTAGTTCATCTACGTCATAGATGTTATGTGTATGATGTTTTTGTGGGTATGTTCTATCTGTCCATGCGAGAATATAGTCTCTTGTTGCATCTACATATTCTTTGTCAGCTTTGTTGTCAATATCTGCTTTCAAAAGAAGTTCATTTATAGGTTTCTCGTTTAAAGTTCCTTTTGTTGGATTTATACAGACAGTATGGTTCTTATTGTCTTGAAACAGAAACTCATCTGTCATTGGGTTTAATGTCAGTTTTAAGTTTCCTTCTTTCAATGACTCAGATATCTTAGAATAGTTTGAAAAGTTTGTTGTGTTCTTATTTAGAGCTTGCATAATGAGTTGTCGGTTGTGTTGTATTTCTCTCATAGACGCTGTTTCATTTGACATTTTTATTCTAGATAAAATATGCTTCCAATAGAAAAAGAAAATTCAAGAGTTGCTACAACTAAACCATTAGATGAACTTTTTACTAATGTCGGTCAAAAGTTTGAGACAGAGACCGTAAAGCATGAAGGCTATCGTTTTGACTACCCGTTAAGATGGTTAAGAGACCCATCTGTCACAAAAGCTATTGGCTTTCGTAGAATGAAGTTTGTGTCTGTAGAAGATAAAAGTTTTCCATTTATTGTAAGGTTTCATATAGATTATATATCTGAAGGGAAACGAAAAATGTGGGAAGAAATTGAGCTAATACAAGTTGACCTTTCATCTTCTCTACAGACTGCGTTAAAAAATATAGAAGATAAAATAAATTCATGTTATGCAAAATATGCTGATGAATATGCAAATACCGAGAGCACACTTTATGTGAGAATTGTATATGACAAACAAAATTCACAAGTGTCATTTCAAATCTACGAAGACAATCCAAAGAAAGACGAACAAATATATACAGAATTCACTGCAATGTCATGGTATTATTTGCAAAGAATGTTAAATCAGAAAGTCGAACTTCCTTTAGCAAATATTTACAGTCGATATGCAAGAGATGAACCATATTTATTTAAAGATGTTTTCGACCCAGCTGCTATTATTGTTCATGCTTCATTTTCTGGCGCTCAAAACTCTTTCTTATGCTTGGCAAATGACTTTTACGAAAAACCTACAAAGCTATATGAACCACCAAGTGGAAGTATTTCAGACTTTCAAGTATGGTTTACTACAGATGGAAGAAAGAGAATAATTCCATTATACCATGCGTTTTACTTAGAACTTAGTTTCATATACAACTACTATCGAACGGTAAAAATATAATTTTTTAATACGGTTGAGGTGTTGGATTTGGTTGCCAACTAGACTGTGGTGCAGGTTCAGGCTGTTGTATAACAGGAGCTTGTTCTTCTGGTTCAGGGTCTTTAGGTATAATACCAACAAACTGACCTACCCTTTTACCAATATTTTTGACTCCGTTCCAAATTCCTCTTCCTACGGTTTTATTCCATTCCATATACCTCTTCCAACATTTCGAAAGAAGTTTCCAATACTACTGAAGAAACCCATTTTACTATATGTAAAAATCTAATGTCCGCCTAGTCTCTTACGTTTCCTGTTGAGTTCCATAGCATTCTTTAACTGGAGCTCATACATTCTGTTTCTCCTCTGGTAGAAAACATATTCTGGGTCAACTCCTGTGTTCGCGTCATCTGCATAAAGTTGTTTATATCCCACTTCAGGGTTTGTATAAAACTCTTTCCATCTCATATTTGCATACCATGGTGGCAAACCTAACGCAGCGTCATTTGACATGGCAGTTTGCATTTGTACATCTGTTGGCACTTGACCATAGTTTGCCATTGCAGTTTGTATTCTAACTTCATTTGGAATATTCTCTGGGTTTGGTTGTCCAGGTTGCTGTGCATTCGCTAAGTTCTGTGCGTCCATTTAATATTAGATAAAAATATCTCTTACGAGTACATATACTGAACATTTGCAGGCATTGGTTCATCTTCATATTCTCTATATCTTTCTGCCACGTCAAATAAGTAAATGACACAATGGAAAAAACCTAAAACAAGTAGTCCTATTTCAAACCACATTTACTTACTAGTAAAATTTCTTTGTTATGACACTTTCTCCAGTTTATAGGACCTCTCTCATATTCTATCTTATCGTATCTAAACTCATAGTCATGTATGTCCTCTAACCATCTCATGACACTTTCCAAACCACTTTTATCGGATGTAAAGTAAAAGCATGGATGGTTATGTAAAACGTCTAAAGTTTCTAAAGAGTCTCTCAAAGTCCAGTCTACTTGGTATTGAAAATCCCATGTGTTATAGAACGGCGGGTCCACTATAAAGAAAACATTTTCCTCCTTGTCTTTATATTTTTCATACAAATCTGTCCAATGACATCTCACAAACTCTATACCCTCAATATATTTTTCTATGTCCTCTTTGAAAACATTTGTATAGTTAGATATAAAACTTTTGACATAAGTGTTTCAATGTCATGAACTCTTATAGCACCACTATATAATAGTCTAGCAGATATACTATCCCGTCTATATATTCTGCTTTTTTCAAAATCTCTCTCACAATATTTTTCTTATCTAATGGTATACGTTCCATCTTACCTATAGGTATCTTTTCTTTTAACTCTTTCAATATTTGTTTTGTCTGGAATATGTTTGAGACGGTTCATATAGTTGTCGAAGTCATTGCATATAATCTTTGAGTCAGGAAATACGGTATGACATAATGGGATATATAGAAACTTCCACCGAACAAATCTACAAATGTTAGACCATTCGGTAGTTTCTTAAGTTCTCTCAATAGAATATCTTTACATTACTCTTATTTCCAAAGAACGTAACGGTGGTTTTTGTAAAATTCATTTATATATAATAATAAAAATGTTTTTCCCTGAAAAGTGACAGAAAAGTGACAAAACATGAAAACATATATAAGGCCATTTTTCCGCAGTTGATCGGACAAAAACTCCGCATTTCGACGCAGAGATCGACACCAAAAATCGGGCAAAAATTATAAAAGGAGGTCTATCGTCGCAGATAACAAATCTTAGTTTTAATAATCTGAAGATTTTGACGAATACAAATTTCCGAACAAATAATTCATAACACCGGAAATTAATATCGAGCAAAAAAAAAAAAAAAAAAAAAAAAAAAAAAAAAAGGTAGTGGGGCTTCCAGGCACTGTCGTGCCTTCTAGCCCTGATGTTGATGTTTAGTATAAATGAAGTTTTTTATTCGGAGGACTCTTCTTCTTCCTCCATTGCTTCTGGGAAGAAGCCTTCTTCTGGGTCGAAAACATTATATAATGTGTCGCTTTTCACAATT